AAAGGTTAAGAATCAGGACTTAAGATTCTCAATTATTCATATTTTATTTTCTTCTTTACATAAAGAATCCAGTTACGGAGCTTCAGTGAAACGTTGACTATTTTAGCGGTTGCCTATGTTTTAGCTTAAGGTGATCCTGTTAAATAGAATTCCTTATCTCCAGTCAGGGAGAATTTTAACATAGGAATTTGCGGGACTTTCATGAATACCACAGGGCACTTCACTGTTACCTCCGCCGTACAGAACTGCTAACAAGATACAATGTCATGGTAATGTCTAATGAATTACTGTAAGTGTTATTACTGAATGCATCAAGATTTAAGGGAGCATTATGCATGACGCCTTAGCTGTTATCACTGTTGATATAACTGCCCGAGTTATTAAGCAACATTCACTAAGGTTTACTTTCTACCTTAAACTTTTTTGTTGAAGAAATTCATATTAATATTTTGATGTATTAAGGAGCCTCAGCAGGGAAGGAGTTCAAGCATTGTTCACAAGTCTACATTATAACACAACAGATGAACAGATGAACATAATTATTACACACTGATGCTTCTGATTAACATTTTAACAGAGTTGATGTTTCCTTTATTGTATATATATCTTTCACTACGTAAATAGAACAAAAATTAATCCTTAATCTAACAATAAAAAAACAGACGATATCTTGAAAAACACAACACAGATAGTAGCCATGTCAAGGATCGCTGGGCAACAGAAAGTGCAAATCTGAATCAGCAAATTGATCCTTCATGGTTACTTATTCAAGCCATGGCACTTAAGTTGTCCAGTAGCGTTAAAGTGTTATACTGTGTTGGATTGGTCGATGGTACAGACGCTGCTGGACTGTGATAACATTCTTACATCTTTTATATAGGTTGAAAGATCTTCGTAACCAAACACAAATAACACCCAGACAGACATTGGGACTACCTTCACTAGATACGGTCAATTAGCACCAGATAGGAGACAAAATGAATGAATATAAAATCAATGTAAATCCAGAGACCAAGACGTTATCAGAATTAATATGATTAGGGCTTTAGAGGCATGAATTATTATATGTTTTTCTTTATTCTACGTCTGTTTTCTATTGTTCTTATTTACTTTATCTGATATGTAAAGAGAAGAAGATAACTCATTGTAGGTCAACAAACGCGGAAGACACGCATGGCGGGAACCACTCCTGAGCCAATATTTGAAGCAGAGAATCTTACTGAGAATAATATGTCCTATTAACTAAGATTACAGAAACACCTTTAACTAGTTCACTGAAACACTAAAATACGTATCATAATTATCCTGAAACACTATCTTAACTAAAGTTTGAATTAGTAACAATCATTAGGCAGAATAAACATAGGGTTATCATAGAGAATATAAAGACATTCTGGATTACGTGATGATTAGCCATTCCCAGATTATTTCACCTGGTTAAATAAATACCATAACGCTACCTGGAGGGGGGGGGGGTTAGGTTAATGATAGAGTGGTTAATCTTCAGATGAAACAAGCTAGGGTGTCTAATCTCAAGGTGAAATAAACTAGGGTGTCTAATCTCCATGTGAAATAAGCTAGGGTGTTTAATCTTCACGTAATCTAGCTTTCCTTACTTAATTTTATGGGACTTACAACAGCTAACCGTCATCCAGTGTTAAGTGACAAGGAGACCACAGGAGTGAATAGTGTTTTTTTATGACGGTCTTCTGTCCGCTATTTCCTGAGGTGTTGTTTTTATGTCATCCCTTTCCTGTCCAAGACTGAGTACGTGGCTCGTTACGATTTCATGAAGAAGAAAGAAGAAAGAAGAAAAAAGAAGAAGAAGAAGAAGAAGAAGAAGAAGAAGAAGAAGGTTGAGTAAGATGATCGTTCTCCGCTAAGAGTTTCTAGTCGGAGAGAATATTTTGTCGCATACCTTGTCTAGATCGATGGTTCCCAAGCGAGTTTTTCAACACTGTCACGCTACGGGTACAGGTGTGTGTGTGTGTGTGTGTGTGTGTGTGTGAGACTTACACACAGACACACACACACACACACACACACACACACACCTAGTGAATGTAAACAAAATATATATAAATTAACACCTGCTAAAACACATCTTAACCTTCACACACACACACACACACACACACACACACACACACACACACACACACACACACACACACACACACACACACACTTTACTGGTGAGGATTTTGTCTAGTAGGATATTACCTAAACAGATTTTGTCCAAGAGCAACATAGTGTAATGTGAGTCTGACCAGCGCCCCGCCCTCCAGCGCCTCACTCCATGTATTGTATGTAAGTCGCCGCCCCTGGGCATTGTACCACTCGCTATATATACCCTGGTGACACTATGCTCCTGCCAGATGGGTACTCCTAGTCCACTACTGTTACCAGGCGGTGTAGGGGTACCTGGCTGGTGGTGTTGGGGTAACCTGGTAGTGGTGTTGGGGTAACCTGGTAGTGGTGTTGGAGTAACCTGGTAGTGGTGTTGGCCTGTTGAGGTAAACTGGTAGTGGAGGTACCTGGTGGTGGTGATGGTGTAACCTGGGAGTGGAGGTACCTGGTGGTGATGGTGGGGTACCTGACGGTGGTAATGGAGACACCAAGTAGTGCTGGGAGTACCTGGTAGTGGTATGATCCTGGTAGGTACACGTCCATTCCTGCTCTCCAAACATGTTCATCTTTAAGACAGGACTGGACAAGGACTGAGCTGATCACAAAAGGTCACATACGATTACAGAACTTTCAATCTGTTTTGTAAGATCTACCACCTCTTCGCTATAGTGCTGACCAGTCTTACAGCATCACGTTGATTAAAACATACAAACACCTGACCTTAGTCCTGAATAGAATGAAGTGAGGATCGCTGTTGTTGTATTAATGCATTCTGGTGTTTCTTCAGGTAGGGTCGTTCAGCATTGTTCACCGAGTTTTAGTTTTTATCGAACACAACAATTAAAAAAAAATGAGATAAGTAACAAAACCAGATTAATTACTCGCTTCCTTTGTATCTGTTGTTAGTTGTTTCTCGTGAGTTGGTGCAGCAAATTTAACACCTGGGCTCGGTAAACTAGGACTTACTTCATGATGCTCTCACTTAATAATATCAATACAAATTCATACGAAAGTGAATTATGTTATTCACGATTCATGAACTTTATTAATGAGAGTTTATCTTTAGATGTTGTAGTTGGAGTTAAGGATTGTTCATCAGTCAGTCAATGGCACTGTCTACCTAACACTTGGCCCTATATTAGTTATTATTCTCAACAAACTAGTGCCATGTGAATCATTTAAACCCAATACCTACAGACAACAGTGTAAACGATAGAGACTCAACACCTGAAGACTCTACAGTAAACACCACGAAGCTGAATCTAAGCTGAGAGAAAGTTTTGAGAGTATTTTTTTTTTCAGAGGGTAGAACACGCGAGCTTGGTGACGGAGAAGTGGCGCTTGAAGATGACTGATTTAGGTTAGGTTAGGTTAGGTTACGATGTATAACAGAGAAGAATAAATCGCCGTCATTAATCCTAAACCAATCCGGATAAAAGATTATAACTAGACAGATACACACGACTTGGATACAAATACATGTGACTTAGTCCAATAAACCGTCTAAGTATATTTAATCTTGAGTAAATAATCACCTGAGCAGATAGAAGCAGTAGTTTTCAATATCATAAATCTAAATGGTTGACAGTGGATGAATGGCTGACAGTGAATAAATAGCTGACAGTAGATAGAAAGACAGCACTCGACAGACATAAATTAAGACTCTTACTTCAGTCATCTCACCATCCTCGTCTCAAGGTCGTATTAGACTCTGTAGCCTCCAGTCTTATATACCCGGGCATTAAAACCAGATCACAGCAGTTGGGGAAGTATGTCTCCTGTACGCTGTGTCAATGTCTAATTCTTCTTTCGTTATTCCTATCTATCGTTTTTATTTCTCTCCATCGTTTAGTCTTCCTTTCTTGTGTTCCTCTTTATATCTTTCCTCTACTCGTTCTTGCACCTTCCCTTTATTTCCTCTTTTATTAGACTCATTCTACCTTTTATTATATTTTATGCTACGTGTCGTTTTATAAAGACGTCACGGTGTTTGAAGACATGATTATTTAGACTCTCAAAGGCTCCTCACGTAAACACACTATACGCATACCCGAAGCAAAACTACTAGCAATGATTATAGGTAGAGAATAAAACTGCTAGCAATGATTATAAGTAGAGAATAAAACTGCTAGCAATGATTATAGGTAGAGAATAAACCTAGTTCTTGTGATTATAGGGAGAGCATAAATCTAGTTCTTGTGATTATAGGTGAAGAATAAACCTAGTTCTTGTTATCAGAGGTACAGAATAAACCTAGTTCTTGGTGATATGCTATTACAGGACTGTTTGTACCCCGCGTTACAGTTACAGTGGTGAACGGCGGGAGGTAGTGAAGCAAGTAACCTTAATCAGTGGCGTGTTGGTGTAACTCTGGTCTAGGGGAGTGACTACGAACCTGCAGTAGTTAGAGTGGAAGGAGTTAGTACATTAATTAACTTAAGTGTTTCGCTACTGTACGTGGGTTAAGGTACAGTATTATATTAAATTGAAATAGGTATATTAATTGTAGGTATGATAATGATGATGATAATAACAATAACAATAATAATAATAATAATAATAATAATAATAATAATAATAATAATAATAATAATGATAATAATAATAATAATAATAATAATAATAATAATAATAATAATAATAATAATAATAACGTAACCTAAACTAACCTAATCTAACCTAACATAACGTAACCTAACCTAAATTAACCTAACCTACAGTAACCTAACATGACCTGACCTGACCTGACCTGACCTAACCTAACCTAAAACTAAAGCTCGGATGAATTTAATAATGTGTAAGCTGACGACTCATCAGCTTACACATTATTTTTATTTGTTGATGTACAGTGATTGGCTGGGGTCTGGAGGCTAGGTGGGGATTGGAGGTTGGAGACTGGAGGTTGGGGATTGGAGGAGAGTGGAGGCTAGGGGCTGGGGTCTGGAGGCTGAGGCTGGAGGTTGGGGATTGGAGGTTGGAGACTGGAGGTTGGGGGCTGGAGAGTGGAGGCTAGGGGCTGGGGCTGGAGGCTGGAGACTGGGAGCTGCAGGTTGAGGCTGGAGGTTGGAGACTGGAGGTTGGGGGCTGGAGAGTGGAGGCAGGAGGTTGAGGCTGGATATTGGAGGCTGGGGGCTAGGGGCTGGGGCTGGAGGCTGGAGACTGGGAGCTGCAGGTTGAGGCTGGAGGCTGGAGACTGGAGGTTGGGTACTGGAGGCTAGAGACCGGAGGCTAGGAGATATAACAACAACAACGAAACAACAACAACAACATGAGATAAACTTGTAAAATTTTATGAACAGTATTTAGGCTAAAGCAGGATTCACTTATCAGTTTATCTGTTATCATGAGAAACTTCAAAGCTCGTGGGTACTTGAACACCTAGCCGCTGTTAGGTTAAGTTAGGTTAGGTTAGGTTAGGTTATTGTTAGGGCGTTAAATCATCAGGAGAAATAACCTTCATATGGCCACAAATATAACTTAAGAGCCTTACACCTTAAACAGAAACAAAGACGAATGATATAGCGGTCTCTGTAAAGCTCAACCTGCTGCCATATACCAAGACTCCAGACTCACCAACACCCAGTCGCCCTGACAAGATCCAAGCCAGCGACCAGAACCTGCAGGTAAAATAAAGATAAAACGAAGACAAGAGAACACCAAGAGTTCCTAGTAAGAGATAAGAGGCAATAAAACTATCAAGAGAGAAGACCAAGACAAGAGAACATCATGAGCCCCCAGTAATGAAGATCAAGAGAGAAGAAGAGTGTCGCTGGGGACGTATTGATCTCTTGTCGTTGACGTCCACACAATCTATATCTCAGGAACTGGAAATGAGTGTAGTGATCCTCCTGACGAATAAACCTAACACAAAAGAGGAAATTTCTGGGTTAAAAGAACAACGTCCACACAGGACTGATGCTCTGGGGATGTATTTTATTTTAATGTTGGTAGCCTGTGAACCTAATCCAACCTAACCAAACCAAATCTAACCCTAACCTAATCTAACCTAACACTGGAAGATTGATTTTCTGTAATTTATAAAAAGTGTCTGGTGGAAAAACTACAATTTAATTGCACTGGACTTACTAACACCTGGTAGTTAATGCTCCTATAAATCAATAACAAAAATAATAACTATACAACATTCAACCTAACCTAATGAACAGCGTGAGACAAGCTAAATGATCCAGACTGTTGCCGTTGTTTATTCCTGTATTCAGTGATGTGTTCATACCTTGGCTGTAGCAGCGACGCGCCCCTCACCCAGATGATCTCATAACTCAAAGGAGAATTGCTCATCCTCCCCCAAGCGTCACCACAACTAGCTCGAGAACTCTAATAGTCAATCCGTCATATTTAGAACTAGTTTATGTTACCAGGCAATTATCACTTACGGTTCAGTGGTGTACAGAAAAGAAAGAAAATTTAAGAGAAAAAAATGTTCTTGACTGGGAGATTGATTTTGTAGATGGTGTGTGTGTGTGTGTTTGTGTGTGTGTGTGTGTGTGTGTGTGTGTGTGTGTGTGTGTGTGTGTGTGTGTGTGTGTGTGTGTGTGTGTGTGTGTGTGTGTGTATGTGCCCTTATGATTTACAATACTTTAATATTTCCTTAAGGTTATGATTGACAAAAAACAACAACTCGATTAACAACTCTTCCTCAATGGTCATTCTTGTATCAATCATTTCATTCGATTCCGCCCCCCCAAAAAATCACAATAATACATCAAGTCTTCCTAATAACAGCGGGAACTCATCTGTGCGTCCATCCCAGCTAAACAATAGACCAGAGGCTCGAGTACAGCCAGAGTCCATCATCTCAGACCCTACAGGAAGCCTTATGTATGAACAAAAAGATCATTTCAAACCGTCAATTGATCGGCTTCAATAGATCGCCCATTTCCACATATACATCCAGGGAATTTGCAGTTAATATCTACTGATTTAATCGAGATGTTAAGAAAACTGGCAGAACGAAACACCATAAGAAACGGTACTCCTTTAGTGCCTGTTAGATGCACCCGACTACTATAAATGAATCCCTAACCATATACAGATCTTGTCTTCATCGTCCGCCCTGCTCACAAAACTCTACCTGCCCTGGCTGAGTTACTGAAGCATTCATTACCTCTCTAGATAAATGTGTAACGACAAATACCTGTAGTGTGTTATGATCTCAATGAACAAGATAAAATAAAGTAGATTAAATTTTGGGCTATGGTGTTACAACATTAGTCTTGGGAAAGTAATGATAGAAAGTTTAATTTAATAATGCCTCTATACTAATTATGCCCCATTTGATAATAACCATTTGAAAGTGAAAGCAATTATCATACTAAACTAAGATCCGAGTTTTATACATTTATATTGAGAAGTAATAACTGTAGATCCGTAGTTTTCTGACACTGTACTGCCATTGTCTTCTTCAACACTGCCACTTTATTCCCGGTGTTGGTGAGCTGGGCCGCCTGGGTCTTACCTCTTACAATAGTCGGTTCTGAGCTTCCTCTCCTGTTATTCCCAACCCTCTAGTCTAGTGATGTTCCTTAGGTTTATTATCAAGGAGAGGGAGGAGAATGAAGAAGAAGAGAAGGAGGAGGAGAAGGAGGGAGAGGAGTGAAGAGCAGGAGGAGGAAGAAGAAGAGAAGAAGAAAGAAGAAGAGGAAGAGGGAGAGGAAGAGAAGGATAAGCAGGAAGAACAGGAGGAGGAGGAGAAGGGGGAGGAGGAGAAGGGGGAGGAGGAAGAGAGAAGAATTGAGTTAGTATAGGGGAAGAGAAGAGGAATGAAGGAAGAGTTTTATATTAAAGATCATACATTTAACCCTCAATGTTTGTGTAAGATATTCAGGTCTACTCTTAGCTCCTCCACCGTGTTCTCTAAGGTGTGTCCATTTCGTCTCTTTCTACACAAGAAAACAAAGTCGACATTACCTCAGGACCTCAGGTTGTGTTAACGTGGCAACTGACTCAAACTGCCAGTCAAATCCAGTTATCGACGTCTTATCTAACTGAAAAATCAATAAGGTGATGCGTATCAAATCTAATATGGATATTTAATAGTACTTTTAGTTCAATTTGCGTATGAATACCCCTAGGGACTTTGAAAACTCGGTGGTCCCATATACCCGGAGGACATCAAACGAGTCTTCAAAGCAAAGCGAGTCACAAAGTACACAGAATTTGGAAGATTTACAGAACAGCCCTGATGTCTTAGAGTGGGGATGGAAGGTAGGAAGGAGGAGGAGGGAGAGAGGGCGGGAGGGATGGAGGGAAGGAGCTCGACAATTATACAGGTTGCTGCTACCCTTCCCTGGTTCCTCCTCCCCCCTCCCCCCGTTCCCGTAGACTAGCCCCTGCAAGTATGATTTTCTTATGGCTAACATCTCACTGTGGTATATTCTCTATCTTCCTCTATTTCCACTCTTCATCACTACATATCCCAACCATCTCAGTCTTAACACACTCTCTCGGTGCCTGCAATTTTCCTCGTTCGTTAAATGTTCCTTGTATCATCATTCTATATATCCATTTCCCGAACGGTAAGAACGATATCTAATTTTATCGTTCACCTTCCACGTCTCTAATACATTGTTCCCAGTGTCCAGGCGTCTCCTCCAGCCAATAACGCCATAACCACTGCCTTGTGTACTCTCTCCTCATGTGTGATCGTAAATGTTTCCATAACTTTACCTTAAAACTTACTCCTTTACTCATAGCTCAGCCCAGGTATCTAAACTCTGTTGGTGTTTCATTTATTATTTCTCCCGTCGAATATTACTTTTTTTTCGGGTCTTGTCTCTCTACCCTTCACTATTTATATTTTTCTTACACTGACTTTCGATTCTGTTCATATTCCTCTCATCCTTAAGACCTATACTGTTATTATTTCTTCAGTGTTAATTGTATTCACCAGATTATTTGTAAACATCAGTTCCTTATATATTTCCTTTAGTGCTTCTTCCTCCAGGACATCAAACAACTAGAAGATCTTTAAGAGGGTAGTTTAGATGAGGAAATTATATACAGGAATGGATTTAAAAATGATCCTTATTGTGGTCGTTCTCTATCTCTATATTTATCTATTATCTCTTAGTCCTGTTCTCACTAATATCCTTTCTCCTCTTATTAGTTTCTCAGGTACACTATTTATTCACAAACATCAGTAAATTATTTCCTTCCAAGATTCTCTTCTACACTTGCCTCCTCACTAAGAATACTGTATGTCTCTCTCTATGAACTTGCCTCCTCACTAAGAATACTGTATGTCTCTCTCTATGAACTTGCCTTCTAACATTCTTTCCCTGTATAGTTTTAACTTATATGCTATTCGTATCACTGTCCAGGACCCATATTTAGAGGTAGATATTTTTCAGTGTCGCACAGAAGTGTTAAGTTTACAGAGTTGAAACGTTGAAGCCTTGATCTGATATTGTTAATGGTGAGTGTATGAAGTAAAATAGAATACGTGGTTAAAGATTTGAATTATTAACGTAGGAATGCATTATGTACACACCAACAACACCACGAAGAGGGATGCAAAATGTAGAGCCGACTATTTACTCTTGAAGATTTGAGTTTTATCTTCTGCTGTCACGAAAATGAACCTTCCAGGAACTCTCTTCCACTAAGGTTGAGATGGAATCCTTCGACCGGAGCGACCCATGCAGTTGACGACCAGGAAATCAACATTAGTAAATGCGAGATTCAATTTACCTGGTTCACTTAATCTATGGCCTCAAGATGGGGACCAAATGATGTCGAGATGACTCTTGAGACACTGACATGGATAAGTTCTTTCTTCTCCAGGCACAGCACCAAAACAATACAGAATATCAATAACCGAGTATTCGATCCCTGAACTTAAGCCAAGATAAGGACTCGGCTGTCGAGCTGGTCTAATGACGAGGACGAGGGGGGAGGCTATTGACGAGGGGCGAGGGGCTATTGATGGGGGAGTCAGGTCTGCTCTTCACCGTTACGCGACGCTTCCCTTGTTGACTCTCAGTCAAGCCAATTATCTTAGATCAGTTAACACTGAGACGTCCTCAGCTCCCTTCTGTGATTACCTGGACGGGATGGAGATTAATGGCAATACAGGTATCATTCACTGATATTCAGATCCTTCACTCGCACAAAGCAAAACTATGACAAGTGACACTCGAAGCGGGATGGAAGATACAGTGCATGAGGTCAAGTATCATCCCAAGATGATCTAAATTGTTACTTCCCAGGTGAAAGACTGTTTACAATCCATATATTCTGAAGAGTAGAAAAGTCGGGTTTTAAGTGAGTGTGTAAAGGAAGAGAAGGATCATGTATTTTAAACTATACGACACAAGGGAGACTTCACTTGTTTTATGCGGTACAGATGGGATTAAGTAAGGTTGATAAAACTAAAATAATTCAACTCTCAAGTCAGAAGCGAATACGTAGCAATGATTTAGAATGATAGATTTTTTGATATAGGAATGAATTAAGTAAACACTGGATCGGAAGTAGAGTTGTGAATGAGTGGAACAAGTTACCAATCAGCTGGAACTCGTTGTAAAGTTTCAAATATTAGGTTGGACAGATGTACAAGTGATATTGATTGATTGTAAACAGAAGCTGCCTTTATTCTGTGTTCTCAAGAGTATTTATTACGTGATTATACATATCAATCGGTTATATTCTGAAGTCACATTTAAATAATTATAACGGTAGAGCAAATCGAGTACTGAGTCACGACATAATTTAACGAACGCTATTTTTTTTAGAATCTCTGCCCCTAAAGGTTACAAATGAGACTGAAGTTTGATTTCTGGCCTGAGAACTTGAACGGAGCAACCTGGAAAAAAAAACTTGCTGGATGTGAACTGTTGGACGCCTGGGAACAACTTGCCTGAGCGAGCGGGTGTTCTTGCCTTCCAAAATGTGCGCGTGACCTCCTAGAGACGACTGGACAAGCACTGGTCAAAGACGTCGCGTGCAGGCAACAAAAGAGCCCCCCACCTGTGAGTGTCTGTAGCAACGCCCCCACCACCACCACCACCAGCCCTGCCAGATTCAGTTCTGATTATTGTCACACAAGTGTATAAAATCCGAACACACACACACGCGAAGCTTTAACACAGAATTTAAATATGTATGCAAGTAATTAAGTATAGTATACAAGGTCTAAACAAATACTTTTAGTGTATGGCCATTTTGAATTAGGAAAAAAATGCTAATAACATTATTATAAATAGCTCTTTCTTTTTGCCATACTTTAGTAATGAAAAGAGGGAAACATGAGAGCAACGAAAATATAGATGAAATGAAACAACACCAGAATTAAGTAGCGTAAATAAAAGAGCATCAGGATAACTAATAAAATAAATGAAGTGATAGAAGGAAGCAACGGAATGAATAGAAACTGAATCAAAAAAGTTTAATGGAATGAAGTAAATGAATGAAGAAACTCTACCTTCAGGGATGATGACCACTAAGGAATAAACAAAACTAAAAAATAAAATAAATTACATATGAATCAAAAAATAAAATTTCTTTGTTTTTACTCCCATAGGTCTATTTCTTCATGGCTGGAAGGAAGAGTATTACACATCCACTCCCCTATCTACCCCTTTACCCTTCCTCCTAACACTTCCCCCTACCCCTTCAACCTTTCCCCCTCCCCCCTAGCTGTAACACTTCCCCCTCCCTATAATTCGCTGTCGTTTACTCCCTCCATTTGGTTACTGTACCGGATGTGTTCGGCCATACGATGTTCCTCTTTCTCATAACACCAGAGAGAGAGAGAGAGAGAGAGAGAGAGAGAGAGAGAAAATATTGTTTCCTTGTCGCCTTTTATTCCTGTCTTGTCAGTTTACTTCTTGCTCCATTCCCATCTATCATCCTCCTCTTCTCCTTCGTGTACACTTTGCTCCATCTGACGCAAAAAAAAGAGGAATGGAATAAATATAATAGATGGATGGACAAGGATAACAAGAAGAACAAGATGAAATAGGAGAATTGTCATGAAACTATCGCTAACTAAACCACAGGTGTTCCATAATCTAAAACCTCCTGGAAAAAAAAATAATGGTTTGCGACTCGAATTTTTGTGATCAGTTTGTCTTCACTATTTCTTACACTCTTGAGATTATTACTCATTTGTTTTAAGAGATTTATTATATTACAGTGATATATATGTACTATTTATTGATGAATTTATGAGTTATGGTGACAGAGGGGGTATTAGAAAAACAATATAAGAATTTTTTATCTTTCCATACTGTCTGGTTGAGCTGTGATGGGTTAACCTGATTGTTGATAGGGTAAAGTACTTATCTAAAATAGCCCCTCACCTCACCTAACCTACCCAAACCTAATGGTATTTATCTCTTTTTTTATCAGTCTGGGGGTGTAGTGATGAAGCTCTCTTGTTGGGTTGTCTGCTGCGTCGACTCGAGTACCCCCTGAGCCCCAGCCAGCCAGCCATCTAGGGCAATGCTAATGATGTCGTTCTGTGTCCGAGTTTGTCCTGCGCATTTAACCCACTTGTCTATGACTATTCTCTAGCAGCGATGTGATATATGTGTGTGTGTGTGTGTGTGTGTGAGCCCTGAGACAAAGATGTTATTGTACTAGAGATGTATTGGAGATGAGGCCTGAGCTGTCTGATGAATAGCTTATTAATGTATTGATTTTGAGCCAAGTGTGAATAAGTCCAACACTGGATTAGGTTTTTGTGGTGAATAGACTCGACGTCAAGAGTTGCTTTAGCACAATCAGGTGAGGGAGACCCAGGGTTGGTGTCGTGGGCTGCTGGCATGGGAAAGCCTCACGCACGGAGACCGACGGACCAGAAATAGCTGTGCTATGCTAAGAGATTCCATGTACAGTTGCCAGTAAGTGCTTTCTTTGATCATTTACCCAATAATTTCTCCCCAGTACTCGAAATGGACAAAAACTCATCTCCCCGTTAAGGATGTTCGTCATAACGGTAAGGAAGCGCTTCATCCCGGTAGTTTATAGAGCGGCTGTGAAAAGGGGCGAGTGGGTAGTGGAGGGACTGGAGGCGTGTGGCAGCGAGCAGTCCGCGTGCTGCTGCTGCTGGTTCTGAAGAGTCACTGCGGCCGCCAAGCCACCTCCGCTGCCGCTGCTGCTTCTACTACCCCTCCACTAATCGGGTTTCCCTCTTACATCCTGGTAAACCGAATGATTTTTACAGAAACAGAGATAATAAATGAGAAAGTTTCTCGAAACGGCAACTCAAACCTAAACATTTATCTTCTTATCATCAAATGTTCTTAATTCCCAATACTCCCACGCATGGCGCAGTTACGTAAAGAGGGCGGTAGAAGCCCTGAAAACTCATGTCAAGGTAATGAAGGTGTAAGAAGACCCAGTTGGTGCCGTGCGGCGAGCATGTGTGTCTGACAGAAGGCGGAGGAGAGGGTCTCGGAGCGAGGCGGTGAAGCCCAGTTCCCGCGGCCACCGCCACCACGGAGCCTCACCCCGGGGCTTGGGGGGTAGATGGAGGGAGAATGGGGGGGAGGGATGTATATCGCCTTCTGCCCTCCACAGTTCTTTGGTGACACGTGTCGCTAGGGAACGCTTGGTGGTGGTACAGGAGGATGTTGGTCAATATGCTCCACAATGCCAGATTGGTGGGATCATTAACACAAGGGCGAGGAATATGTACCTCCTGTACTCGTTGCTTTTTATAGTTGTGTATGTTAGCATAATGCCGGGGAAGAAAAGTAAGAGCAGTGTAGCAATTAAAGCGGAGTGGCTGACAGACTTGACTCACACCTCACAGTAAGGGCAGTGTCGGGAGGTGCTGGGGGAGGGGGGAAGAGGAGGAAGAGTGGAGAGGAAGGGGGGGGGGATATGATACAGTTGCCTACAAGCACCTGACATTTTGGAAATTACTCGTGACTTGCTTGGTGATGGCTGCTTTCTGGACCTCCGCTCTTAAACCTTTAATATGAAAAGCGTCATATTTACCCTCAGTGTAGTTTTAACACGTATCTTTACTTCCCACTTAGCGAGGTTTTTTTTAGATACAACGGAGGGTAATCATGATCCTTGGGCGGTGATAAGATTTGAAGCTAGTCATACCACACAAGTCATAGTTGATGCTGGGACTGTACAGACAGACTCACGCACGGACATGATTCCACACTCTGAACTACTACTTGACAATGACAACAACAAACCCAACAGACGATCTTGCACTGGACAAAATTTCTCATCACTTCGTTTCTTTAAGCTCTAAATATCCTGTTTGATTAAGAATAATTTTGTCCTACTACTCTTACTACTAATAGGCATCTGTCACGTTCTATTGCTGCTGTTAGTAGATACTGTACATGTCATCCCTGGTGTAGCTCCAGGTAGGTACTTTCTGTCGTCTCTTTGTTGTCGTCCGGCTTCTCTTAATACTATATCAGATATCATTTTGGTGTTGCTACCAGGTGGTATTTGGGGGTCACATACAGTATCTCTTTCTGGAGTTGACAATGACGTTCACTTCAGCCATCAAACTGAAGATTATAAATGTGCTGTTGTTACCTATCATGGCTTGTGTGTGTCTCAGCCCACGTGGAGTACTATACTGTAGATCTCGCTGAGGAGTCACTGGAGAGAGAGAGACTTACTGAGCATTCTATATTCTGGAGACGTTAATAAGTCGTGTAAATGTTTTGTCTTAGGGGTGATTAATAAACAAGAAGTTTTCTTTACGTACAACACTATATACATATATCTCTCCTATGTATATGTACTGGATGCCATTGGTTGTGTAATTCTTAGTTATTCCTTCTTCTGATCTAGATAAGGCAACGCTTTTTTTATGTCACATGACAAATATTATCCCCAGTCTTGTATTTAAATCTGGTCGGCCTACGTTCGTGTACTCGTGTTTCTGAATAAATCTTTTTATTTTTTGTTTCCCGATCCGTGTGACTGGCTGGCTGGCTGGCAGGAGGGCGTGTGGGTGGGTAGCCGTGTCCCCCAGACTCTATATATAAACTAGAAGTCAGCTTTCCTGGGCTAGAATACCGCCAACTCGTGTGATCTAGAGAGAGAGAGAGGAAGCGCCTGTCAGCTTTAGACATTGTTTAATGGATGACATTTTTAAAACTAAGAAAATCACTACAGGTAAAAGCCATTGGAGCAGTACGGGTATTATAGACCAACCTTGATACCTAGTGCTCTTGATACCTAGTGCTCTTGATACCTAGTGCTCTTGATACCTAGTGATCTGATACCTAGTAATCTTGATACCTAGTGATCTTGATACCTAGTGACCTTGATACCTAGTGACCTTGATACCTAGTGATCTTAATACCTAGTAATCTTGATACCTAGTGATCTTGATACCTAGTGCTCTTGATACCTAGTGATCGTGATACCTAGTGCTCTTGATACCTAGTGCTCTTGATACCCAGTGCTCTTGATACCTAGTGCTCTTGATACCTAGTGATCTTGATACCTAGTGATCTTGATACCTAGTGATTTTGATACCTAGTAATCTTGATACCAAGTGATCTTGATACCTAGTGATCTTGATACCTAGTGATCTTGATACCTAGTGATCTTGATACCTAGTGATCTTGATACCTAGTGATCTTGATACCCAGTGCTAACATGTGCAGTGATCTTGATAATAACTGCATAAAATTGAAGTTGTGATATAATAAAACAATGGAATGGTCCACCTGTTAATAATATAGGTGGCACGAGGAACTAGGAACAATAAGAGTAGCTAAAACCGGAGACGATTCAAAACATTTACTTATTTACAAACTTTAACTTTCCACAGCAGTAAATTTTCATATACAATTGACTTATGCTTATGTAAGAAATAAAGATTAACTTGATTTGCGTAGAGGAACTATTAATAGATTATCTTCCCGTAGTATACAAGCCATTAAGATTAGACGAATTACATGAAGATTAGACACCCCAGCTAACCTTAACCTAACCTAACCCTCAGGTAACATTAGATTGTTTAATTGCCATGGAAAAAATAAACTGGGATTCCTAACTTCCACGTGATTTATAATTTTGAGTTTCTGAACAAATTTCACCGCTGTAAACAGAAGAATACCCTAAGTAGACCCTGAAATGATCTCTCACTTAAACCTCCCTCTATGATAACTGTCTAACCAATGGTGTAATTTTAGGGCGTTAAAAGCAGTCTTAGATTTCCACGTCTTGACCCAAAATCACATGGAAAAAAAAAAGGAGTTAGTTTGGTCCTTTTCATTTGTTTCCTTCAATTAATAATAACACGGTGAAAATAATGACCCCCCAAGTGAACCTAAAAATAAACCCTTTGATTTTTTTTTACTGTCGCATGGAAGTTACTGTTGTTTTCCTGTACTCATGATAACGGGGAAGAACTGTACTCATGATAACGGGGAAGAACTGTACTCATGATAACGGGGAAGAAGTCACAGAAAAAAAGTCATAATTTGGGTAGGAGGAAAATAATCCTACATTATATCTCATGAACTGTAGTTGTTGAAATCTGTTCTGTTTATCCTATTAGTTATGACCGATTCTCTTTATCATTATGTTATCCACGTGACATTTATCCTGTCTAGTAACGATGCCGCAGTGTTATGGAACAAGTCAAATCAATCTTTCATACTGTTGTTGTTACGTTTAAGTGAGAATAACTAAGTCTCATAATTTGTAAAGTTTAAGTGTGTTTTTATTATGTGGACTTTATCACACTGAAGTACCAATTGAGTACAAGCATTAGTAACTTAACTAAGGTGTTCGTGTGTAACGGATATGACGAGGTTATCAGGTACATGTACGCGGGTTACCCACAATCACTTTCCAAATAGAATGGATTTTTTAAATGTGGTTATTTATATATTTAGGTCCTGTCGAGTTATTGTTCTTGGGGAAGGCTTCATATCTCTCCCCAGATATTACCTAAAGTGATAAACAGATGTATACTAATTCCAACTGTAGACTAAACCTTATTAATGTTTTTATATTATTAACTTTGGTACAACGAGAGTTAAGGGAGCATGTGGCTGAGTATAACCCAAGGCATCATTTGAATAGGGTTGTTACAGGGACAATTTTAAATTAAGCATTGACAATCTGCTGCTGCTCTTTGGGGGGAACTGTGCACAAGGGAGGAGAGGTTGTGATCAGCTCCCCGGCCGGCCACCGCCAGCCAAGCCAACGTTCCCTGTAGTCCGGCCTCCACCACCTCTTCTGGCAGGCAACCAAGACGTGGGCCACAGTGATGGCCTCCCAGACACTACGTACACACATGATCCCTCTGTCACCACCACCACCCACTTGCTGATAACCTGGTAACTCTCCCTCACTGTCTCAGATAACTGGTCAGTTGTCTCCCTCTCCCTGATAAAGAGTCATCTTCGTCTGTGGTCGTCGTCAGTTCAATAATCATACACCAGTCATTCTCATTCGATACCTGTTCACCTGTCCTCCCTGGTCCTCAAGTCGGCCTTCCACTACTCGGGTCTCCAGCCTGGTGAAGCCGTACGCGTGGAGCTGAGGGCTCGGCCTGAGAGGAGTCTTTATGGCTCGACCAAGTGTGTGGGGCCCCATTGTCTGGTGGGGGGCGAGGAGCGGGGGGGTTGTAGGAGGGTAGAGGAGGGGGGAAGTGACGTGTTGTGCTAGACCGCCTCCTCTCACCCTCTGACCCCCCCTCATTCCCTCCCACAGGAACAGCCTAGTCCGCTCCTCACCGTCTCTCTTATGTGTTATCCAGCTTCAAGGGCTCACCCTAAGGGAAGTTTTCAGAATAAGAAGATGCTAGTTGGATTTTCAATGTGATTTCTCTTGGCAGGAATTACACATCGGCCTGTAGTAGTAACAGCACCTTGAGTAACACCTAGATAACCAAATAAAGAGTAAAGGGTACCAAGGGGTGGCTCTAACGTCCCTTCTTTGTGTGGCCTCACCATGAGATTCGCTGCCCTCCGACTCCCCCCCGTCCCTATATATACTCCCCGACCGACCTTCCTGGATCCAATCTGTCCTCACTCACACACACACACACACACACACACACACACACGTCGTAATTGGATTAAGTGTGACGAATACATTAAGGATCATACTACCACCTATTGCTTCCGTGAAATGTAATTATTGGTATAAACTGTTTCAATATCAATATGAGTACTGTATGAGAGTATAGCACACACACACACTCACACACACACACTCTTTCCTCACTAAGTTACAGAATCTATAGAACTGGAGGAGCCAAGGATACCAGGTTCTCCCTCAAGTAAGAACATTAAATTGAACTAAATAAAACAGTAGAGTCCACCCACAGCCACACCACCCGTACAGTACATAGTTGTATACACGGATAAAACGCAGTATAAACCGAATTAAAAATACATATAAAGGAGAGCTCAGGTTCTCAACTGGCTCGGCCATGTTAATATTGTTATTATTATCCACTCTGTATCTGTGTTTTTCTGGCTAAATAAACTGTTTCAATTCAATTCAAAATATTAATCTGGAACTTTGGTTTATTCTGGATCAGGATGTAAGATTTAATTATATATATATTTTTTATACGTATTTAACTGTAAAAACAAACAAGGAAAATATATTACATAATTGAGAACTGTAAACGTAAACAGTGGCTGAAATAGGTTACAGTTCTGTCACGTCTAATAATTCTGTAACTTGTTTATATCATTATTTAATGTTCTCTACCTGAGGGGTGTAATAAGGTGGTTAAGCATCATAACATACAGTTTTCTCTGGTACAACTCTGGTTCTATTCGTATCTGTTATAAGTTACGTCACTCATCATTCATAGGTAACATGTGTGCATTACCATTTAATTAATTTTCTGTTAACTGGGGTGTATAAATATGCAGCTAAACAACATATCATATAATTTTCTAAGTTTAAGTTTGATATGCGGTTAAAGTAATCATTTTTATAAACACCATTGACGAGAAAGTTGCCTCACAGATTTAGTTACCTTCCATATTGTACCAAAACCTTGATAGCTCGATGTTTAACCACTGAAGGTCTCTTTGGTAGAGTAAACCAAAACTTCGATGTCATCATAGACGTCAAAATTCACACTTGCTTTGTTGTCAGTTTGTAATTCTACCATTTCGAGCACAAAAGAGCCACACTGTTTGCATCTTTCTTGAACTGAAACTGAACAATATTCAAAGACCCAGTAAGCAACTCAGGGAATCTGTCATTGAGAGTTGTTGCCATTATCTGTCCGCAGGATCCTGGGAAGTAGAGAATGAACTGAGCTGAGAACAGTTCAAAAGGTTGGAGGGTGGAACTTCTGCTGTGAAACGTGTCATCCGGACATGCCTGACCTAGACTAAACTGACCTGAACCGACACACGGAGAATAAGTGCATTAATCTCATGACCAGAATTTATGGTACCAAACAGGGAGGCACTACCGCCTGGGAAGATATTGGAAGCATAATGTGTTGTCTAATGGTAGACCCTGCTGCCGTATGGCATCACGAAAATTGTGACCAAGTCCCAGGTTGCTGATCTGACTTTCTGCCTCATTTACACACAATTGCAGGGTCTCAATTGTTTCTCTTACATGACAACACAACATACATATATTGTTTCTCACTGTTGCTTTTTTCATTTTTGTATTTCTTTGTATCTATTTTTATTATTATCACATTGTTGTTATTATTATTATTATTACCATTAACATTTTATTTTACTTTTTATGATAAAATTTATTTACTATGAATTATTATTATTATTAAAATTTTCGCCCCCAGGCCCCGATGTGGGTCAATGACCTGTGCCCGGGTGGGCTAATACCCGTAAAAAAAAAAAAAAAAAAAAGAGGCAGCACCTGTTGGCCACGTTCTTCAGTCCTTTGACACCTGGATTAAAAAAAAAGTGACTGCTGCAAGACCCAGGTGACTCCAGCAACCCCATGACCTCTATGCGCTGGGTTAAACAAAAATCCTCAAAGAGTAAAACCATCGTCCTTAAAGGGTTAAACCACCATCCTCAAAGCGTTAAACCAACGTTCTTAAAGGGTTAAATCATCATCCTTAAAGTGTTAACTAAGTGAGGTTTAAAAGGACTAAGTTAATCATTAATATCCATACGTTGTTCACTGTGCTACTGACCTGATTCAAATTTTATCTTTTGTTCATCTCTCAAAGTCAGTAAGAGTGAGTAAGGGCTGAAGATGCCTAATAACCGTGAAAATTGTGGTATTAATGACTCCTAAGTATTGTAAGAACATTTAAAACAAAAGAAGAAAAGAATAATATGTAACAAGTGTAAATGACTTGTGGCTGTTAAACGTGACCACAACACAACAGCCAATCACGGAACTTGAAACATTAAGAACAAAAAATGCCTCATCTTAATTCTATACATTTACACTCAGGTTGAAAGGTAATCTTGTGATAGAGAATGTTAATTACTTGGAGTTAAGAATAAACTTCCTTTGGTAACATTTCAACTTTATCGCCTTTACTTTCTGATATTGAAATGTTAGCCACGTCTTGTATGTGTGTGTGTGTGTGTGTGTGTGTGTGTGTGTGTGTGTGTGTGTGTGTGTGTGTGTGTGTGTGTGTGCGCGTGTGTGCGTGTGTGTGTAACCTGAATCATTGACCCACTCTTGTTACCAATATCTAAATAAATACTTTTCAAATATTCCTTGAAAACTTTTTATTATTGTTTTTCTTCAACAAATATCATACAGAAATACACCAATGGTAGAGGAAACACTAAACAACAAATATAAAAAGAATGACAAAAAAGTATATTAATTTTTACCTTTTAAGTGTCTCTTAACTCGCTAAGGAATGAGGTTATATTATTACCCTCCTGGATGGTCTTCGTCGTCACATCTATTAACCACAACAGAGGAAGCTACACACAGAGCTCAATATAACAACAAGAACTACTACTGCTGCTGCTACTACTACTACTACTACTACTACTACCAATAATAATAGCATCAGTTTACAGGTGATAAACTATAAGTATTATTAAGCTAACATTAACATTACGATACACAGGTGAACCCTTGATAAGCCTCGTGCGTACTGATGGTGTTTAGGGAATCATTTCACCTTTAGTCCTGGTAAAAAAAAACCCACTGGAACGTAAGCCAACCACTGTATATAGAACGAACTCGCTTATACTAGCTTTGGAATCTTATTTATAGACCTAACCTAACCTAACCAACTATCCGTGTCAAACAAAGGCTGAACAACTGGGCCACAAACTGAACTAACTGGAATCTACTTAGCTACAGACTACCTTAAAGAACATGGAGGTGGGGTGATATTCTGTGACTCTCAAAGTGCTTTGAAATCAATGAACAGCCCGTCAGGTTCTATGTCTAAAGTTGTATGTGATATTAAAAGAAGTGTGCTAACTGCCAATGAGAACAACTCTCGTAACGAATTTGTGTGGATTCCGTCCCATGTTGGAATTAGGTATCATGACCGTTCTGATAGACTGGCCAATGAGGCATGTAAGAGAGAAAATGTTGACCGTGACCTTGGCCTGTGCAATGCTGTACTTAAAAACATTCAAGTCAGAATCATGAACTCTGATCTAGAAGAACTGAGAAATGCGGAGAGACCTGGCAGTTGTAGCATCAGTAAATATGACAAATTTTATGACGAGCGGTACCGGTATGGCCAGCATAAGGACAGAACCAGACAATGTGATGTAGTCGTGGCCAGAATTAGGCTAGGATAGACACATCTGGCAAGTTAGTAACGCTGTACCCATACCGGAACACTCAGCATGTAAACTCTGTGATAAACCATTAAAGTATACACTTGAACACTATATTATTGAATGTGACACTGTCAAAGACTTCAGGCCACCTGACTTATTGTATCTTGAACTATGTAATTACTTCATTGAATCAGGTGTGCTTGAGGACATTCTTGCTGTTTATCCCAAATTTGCTAGCCCACGCTGATTAGTCTTCAATTAGAATATGATTCCAATGTATGTGATCCACTGACCTATATATGCTGCTGGTGAATGTGATGTATTTCCTTCTTTGTGTACGAACCTCTGTCCTGCATGGCAGTGAACAGTGGCATTACCCACATGAATCTGACCTATATATAGTGTCAATGAATATGATGCATTCTTTGTGTACGAACCTCTGTCCTGTATGGCAGTGAAGAGTGACATTACCCACATGAATCTGACCGACGTACAGTATATGTATGTATGTGTGTATATGTGTATGTATGTGTGTATGTGTGCATATGTGTATATATATATGTACATGTATATGTGTATGTATATGTGTATATGTATGTGTATGTGTGTGTGTACATATATGTATATGTACTGTCAATGAATATGATACATCTCTTTGTGTACGAACCTCTGTCCTGCATGACAGTGAACAGTGACATTACCCATATGAATCTGACCTCTATACATTTATAGCTGTTAATGAATATGATGTATTTCTTTGTGTATGAACCTCTGTCCTGCGTGGCAGTGAACAGTGACACCACCCTCAGTGTCAAGACCTGACTGAATTACTCAAAATAGACAAACTGTATTCCAAGCTCTACCAATAAATTT